CTATTTAGAAATAAACAACATTATTCTAGTTATTTATAATATCCTATGATGGGGCTCACCCAACTGCAACACCTGATTTTTCCCAAAGGAAAGACTTAAAAACAAATTTAAAAGAAAGAAGAGTTTTTTTGGTATGACTCACAGAAGCAAGAAATAGGATAATTCAGTGCTTACCTGGCATTGAAGTTGGGCCAACTTGCTATAGATAACTCCTCTTTGGCAGAGGTATTCCTACTATATGAGAATTCCCCTGCAGCAAAGACTCTTTGTATTAAGCTTTCAATATTATAGGACTTGAGAGGCAGTAGGACATGGTGGATAGAATGCTGATCTAAGAGTCAGAAAGACCTAGCTTTAGATCCTGCCTCAGATATACTTATTAGTTGTATGATCCTGGGCAAGTCACTTAACTTCTCAAAGCCTCAGTTTCTTCATCTGTAAAATGAAGATAATAGCACCTGTTTTGCAAGTTTATTGTATCAAATGAGATGCAATATCTAAAGGGCTTTGCAAATCTTGAAGCACTAGTGAATGTTAGCTGTTATTATTGGGATCAGCTATTATTATTGGGATCCTGACAATATGAAATGAATAGAATTAAGAATCTTTTAAATTCCTATGAGGGAAGAGAAGGGATGAAGGATTATGTTCTCTGAAGAAACAGATATCAAAGGAGACTTCCAGAACATCCAAAAGCCCATTGGACCGTTGATCTCTGGCATCACTTTTGCCATAACCAGTGGAGGATTTTGGCTTTTTCCTATCTTTCCGTCTTTATTTCACATTACTCTCTTTTACCCAGGCTACATACCCACCATACCAGACTACTTAGCTGTTCCCCTACCTGGATTTACTGTCTACTGCTGCCATGCATTTGGATTTTTGTTTGTAAAAATAAGTTTTATTTATGCCTTTCATTTTTACATCAAACTGTACTTTCTGCAGAGGGCATTTTCCTAGGTCCCCCAACACCAGCTGCTATTAAGATTTCCCTCTGAGATTACCTTCCATGTATTATGTATATATCTTATATATGCCTATTTATTTATATGTTTGCATGTTATTTACATGTGCATACATCCCTTTATTAGAATGTAAGGTCCTTGAGGGTAAGGAATGTTTTTTCCCTTTTTTGTCTCTCCAGCGCTTAGCAGAAAGAAGGAAGGATGGATGGATTTGTTAAGCATTAACTATGTGCTGGAGATACAAATACAAGAGCTATGTGGTCATGATTTTGAAGTCTATATTGGTCAGGGCCCCACCACAAAATAGGGGCTCCAGGAGGAAATCACCAGTAGGAATTAGGGGGGATGGGGGTGTAGGTCTTGCAGAGAGAAATTACAAGGTGAACAGACTGCAGGGATAATAAGATATTCCAGGTCAAAAAGACTCCAGGTGTAGGGGAAGTTCCAGGAAGTGCCTGGCACATAATAAGGGCTTATTAAATGCATGTTGACTGACTTACTGACATCACACTTACTTCCAGATGTGCCACTCCTCGTCTCCCTCCCCCAATTAATAAATGGAATGCATGAATGAAGC